GAACACAAGACTTAAAGGCAAAACCCAAAAACAAACCGACTGTCATCAAGTTGATTCTGACTCATAGCGACCCTTATAGGGTTTCCAAGGCTGTAAATCTTTACAGAAGCAGACTGTCTCGTCTTTCTCTCATAGAGCAGGTGGTGGGTTCAAACTGCCAGACTTTTAGTTAACAGCCCAATGCCCTAACCACAGTGCCACCAGACCTCCTTAAAGGCAACAAAGATAAATACTATTACATGCATAATCTTGCAATAACAGTAATAACAATAACCTATGAGTGGATACATCTATAGACACCCAAGCTAAACAGATGTTTAGCGAATGAGACTATATGTATGAATAATATCATTCATATACGTTTGACAGAGACTGTCTCTACCTCTATATTTGTGTGTGCTGCAAATACATCCATGAATACAGTAGAGCCTACATGGAGCAAAGTTATGAAAACTTCTTATCCACAACCAGACACCTTGAGGGAATGAGTCACTGGGCCTGGGGGCTCAGGACCATAGTCTCTAGGGACACCAAGGTCAATTGGCATAATATAGTCCACAAAGACAATGTTCTGCCTCCTACCTTGGTGAGGATTGACAGAGGGCTTAAAAGCTTGTGAGAGGCCAAGTTGCAACTATTGATCTTTCCTTACCCGGAGTGAAGGAGGTCCTGGATAGAGTGGGAGGAAAATGTTGAACAAAACTCGAAATCATGAAAAAGACTAGGCTTACTTGGGTCAGACAGAAACCGTTGGACCTCAGAGACTAAGGCCCTTAGATACCCTTCAAGCTTATATCTGAACTGTCACCCCTGTGGTTCAACTTTCAGCCAAAGAGTTGACAGACCAGTGAACAAAACACCAGGGACAGACCACCCCTTAGAACGATCATCCATAGAAGACCAAAAGGGCGAGATGTGCCCAAGAGTAAAGCCCAGAAGGCAAGAAGGGGTAGGAAAGTAGGATGGATGGGAATGGAAGCGGAGGGCGGAAGCGGGAACAGTGCTGTTACACTGTGGGGATTGGAATCCGTGTCACAGAACAAAATGTGTAGGAACTGCTGAGTGGAAAACCACTTTACACTGTAAACTTTCACCCAAATCACAATCAAAAAGTTAAAAAGAAAAGAAACAAAAGTAATTTACTCTGTAAACTACAATAAGATGTGAAACAAAGAAGAAAATCAAAGGAAGAATGCTTCTACCCAATGACACAATGATTCCACTTTGCCACTGAGGCAAAGGGCAAAGAAATGGTTCCTCTACTTGCCAGGGTGATTAATCCTGACTATCGAGGGAAAATTGAGCTGCTGCTACCCAGTGGGGAGAAAAAGATGTGTGTCTGGAATGTACAGGATTCTCTAAGGTACCTCTTTGTACTCCTGCGTCCTTTGACTGAAGTCAATGGAAAAATACAGCTCAATTCAGGCAGTACTGCTAATGGCCCAGATCCATCAGCAA